TTACATCACCTTCATTCCTTGAAGAGGAGGTGCCAGGGAAGAACCTCTGGACTTTCCTTACTTTTTCATCTAAGTTAGGGGCATCCTTAGTTACTAACCCTGAGACTCTGTCAACGGACAGTGTGGTTAAGGCTAAGGATTTAACTACCCTATTAAGCTTTTCATACATACTCAATTCAGGCTCATCACTTTGAGGTTTAGAATTGTTACCCTCCTGATCACTATCCGAATCTAAAGTGAGGTCAAACTTTGAAGGAAGATTGGATTTTTTGTAGTCAAAAGTAATTCTGTCACTCCTCTTTTTTGGTTCTTCATCGGAACTTGATTCAAGTTCGATGTACATCGGGGTATTCATTCTTTCAATTGAAACACGGCCTCGGCCACGTGCTCTTTGGGCCATCCTTTCACCTCTTTGAGGCAAATTGTTTGGAGACCTAAAGACCACGCGCTCGATATCGTCTTCACTGCTTGAATTTTATTCTTTTGTACTCTTGATTTTTTCTTTTCTCAGCTCTTGAATTGCTTTTGAACCATGACTTTACACTTTTTCTTCCTTAACATAGATCTCTACCTTAGATTTGGTAGTGCACCCTTTGGGAACATAATATGCAGCATCCTCGTAGATCCCGATCTCGTGAATAGAGAATGGTTGCAAATCACCCTTGATTTCAAACTCAATGCCATCTCGTTGGTACTTGATGCATTGATGTAGGGTGGAAGGAACCATCCTATACTCATGGATCCAAGGCCTACCTAGGAGTGCATTAAAGGATGTCGCCGAATCAATTATATGAAATTTCGCTTCAGTTTTTAATTCTCCTATCTCTAGAAGAAGTGTGATCGAACCTAAAGCCTTCTCGCCTTTTTCATTGAACCCACGAAGCACCAACTTGTCGGTTGAGAGCTTGCTAGTATCAACTCGAAGGTATGCGAGAGTCTTTATGTTCATCACGTTGACCGATGCACCCGGATCAACAAGAACTCTTGATAGTTTAAACTTTCCCACATTTACTGAAATGTAAAGTGGGCGATT